GTTCCTCCCATAAAATAAAACAAAAATGAAGAGCTCTTTTAAACCAACTTCCAAAGTTTCAGCCAAAAACAAGTATAAAGGCCGAGTGGGTTGAAAATATCTATACCGTATTAGTTCAAATGTCCTGCTGGATTTCTATTCCATGACAAGTATGATGGATCACCAAGAGGCCTACAAAAAAACAATGCAGAGTACCTCAAAACAATGTTTAGTTAAGAAAATAAAGAATTATCCTTTTTTTTTTCAAAAAAAAAAACTAAGCTAAACTAACAAACAAAAATATTAATTCAATCAACCACAATCTTTGAATGCCGTTTTTTTTTCTCACACGCACATCCTAGTATTGTAGTTGATTCAGCTAACAATAATTTTTTTTTGTAAGTTGGGGGGCGAAAAAAACAATTCTAAAGAGCATAACTATGGGATAGAAATGATGAAGGTTTTTATGACAAGGAAAACTCACCTTGGCTTGACAACATACAGAAGTATGAAGCTTATGGCGAAAAACAAGCACAATCCACCAACAGTCACATATGCTATGCCCAAGAAATCATTCTTGCCACCTATCCAAGTTGTGGTTGACAGAACCAACTTCTTTTTGCCTCCAAAACTGTAAGTGTTATAATTATTTTGTATTACCACAGTAATCTGCTGATTAGCTTGGAGATCCTCCTCTATCTTCCCATATAGTTTTCTGAAAGTTGGTAGAGCTGCCGTTCGCATCCAAACAATAAGGTTTTCTTGTTCACTCAACTGCCATGATAATCAAGAAAAATGATGATCATAAACAGAAAGAAACAAGAAAAGAAGAAAAGGGTATCAAGCATTGACTTACAGGTATGCTCGAATTTAGTTGTCCACCTCCAATCAAACCACCACTCTGAAAGTTTTTAGGATACACATCAGACCCAAATTTTTTTGATTTGTCACTCTTCCATGCTATATTTTTCTTGTTCACTTCTAACACCTTGTTCTTTACTTTAAATTTGTATGTGTCATTGAATAAACTCCAGGCAATTAGGCCACAAGGAACAATTGGACCGTTTGCTGATACACCCTCAGGATCACATAGTTTTGTTTCACTCTCACCTTTCTTACTCCGCAATTGTTTATCACTTCGACTTTTAACATAACTACAATACATTGGAGAACATTTAGCAAAAAAATATAAGAAAATTAATAGAGTAAGGAGAATTTGGATGTTGAACACATATAATGAAGTAGAAACATTTCAGCCACAATTATGTAAAGTCGTATACATTAAGATTAATGAAAGTGCAGTTTATCAGTAAGTTGTATACATACCGACGATGGTTCTGGTAGAAGTTATCAAGCTGATAATAAATATATATGGGACTTTTCATTGGCTTAACAATCTGCCAAAAGAATGGATTCAGTCTATTTTAGAAGAACAGTAATGTCATTAAGCATGTAGGGGAAAAAAAAAAAAGGGAATTCCATTAAACACAAATGTAGTGTGAATCACTGAATCAGACTAACATTTAAAGTTCTTGTGCAACTCTTGTCTGTTAGCTTGCTTCGGATGTAGGCAAGCTTATTATTGCTATAATTACGGGGAACACAACCATCATCATATCGATCCACAATCTCCACTACCTACAAAGGAAATACTGTTTTAGAATGAATCATTGAAACCAATATTCCTTAGTGCTAGCATGTAATTGCATAACCCTCCCCCATGGTGATAACTAGCAGAACAACCCAACTTTGCATGGTAAAAACAAAACCTTGAGATAAAGAAACTATTAAGATGATACAGATTGGTAATCACCTTCTCTGATGCAAACAATGACACAAGTCCTACGGGGATGAAGATAATGCCAATCACAATAAATGTTGTAATAACCTGAGATTAATACAAAATTAAAAAAAAAAAATAGAAAAAAAGAGGAAGGTAGAATAGCACATTAATTGCATTAAACTGCATAACATAAGTTATTATATAAGGGTTTGAATGACTGTGTGGTCTCTCCCTTATTTAATAGCCCATGCTTTCACTCATAAGCAATGGATTGTAACTCTAACACATGAAAGCATTAGCCTGGCTTTGGTTATGGTTACTATTAAACCTGTTAAGGCTACTAAAAATTGTCAAAATTCCATCTTCAAACAATTAATAACTAATACAACAATATCCATAACCTCAGCAAATTATATGAGTGAAAAAAGACAAAATTACCCTTAATGAACACACAAAAATTCATTAATGACATTTTCATCATTTTTTCACCCTAAACTCATGTTTTTAAGAACAGGCTGCCTAAATTAGAAAAAATATATTCTCTGTATAGAATTTAAAACAAAAGATTACAACTTTTTGGAGTAAAATGCAAAACATACCAATCCTGGTGTGAGAATGGGTTTACAAGCAGGAAGTTCTTGTTGGGTAAACCTAGAATCTGAAACCCAGAAAAGATGAAAAAGAAGCAAATTTTTTATTCGCAAAGCTTTGTCAGACAATACAAAACAATGGGGTTACGAAACTGACATTTTGGCTTCTTGGAATTCTTTTTTGTTGTAGTAGATGAATCCGACGCTGCCGTCGCACCCCCAGAGCTGGCTGCTCCAATGGCGTTCATCTCCACGACAATCGTACACTCCCCTCCCGAAATGATGAATGTTGTTACAAAACAATTTCTAAGGGATTTGGAGATTCAAAAACACAAAAGGGAAAAATGGGAAATCACACCCTTCCTTTTCTTTGCATTACATTTTCAATTTTGATACTTTGTAAATTTTTTCTCTTAATTAGGGAAAAATTAGTTACAAGGATACCGGAATTAAAATCATGTGTAAGTCCGTGACTCTCGGTTTATTTTCTGGAATTTTGATTTGGTCTATTTTAGGATTAATGGATGATAACATTGTTAGTCCATTTACTCTTAAATTGTGAACCTTTCAGTGAACAAAGTATTTTTCTGATCACTTTAGTCCTTTTTATAAGAAAATGTAACAGCTTTAATATAGAGTACAATGATTTCATTTTTTTGGAAAGAATTACATCATGTGGGAATGGTAAAAATTTGAAACGTCTCAATTCCAGAGAAGTTGCTGAGCAAGAGTAGCATATATATCAGGTGGCAGAACAAGGTCCATTTGTTGAGATTTTAAGATCCAAACAACCTGAATGCAATGAATATTAAAGTGGTTTTCAGTTGTTAGAATAATGTAGAATTCATGGAATAGCATTACCATATGATTTTTAGGAAATCGAGTTTACCTTTGTATGCGTGATTGTGACCGTCTTCCACTGCACAACAGAAAATTAAAGAGAATTTTAGAGAATGGGTATCCTAAGAATATTGCATTAATTTGTAGGAGGTACTGTAACATGCCTTGGTTTGCCTGCTGGTGCTGGCTTTGACACTGGCTGCTGAGCTTCATCACTCACAATGGGCACGGTTTTTACCTAAAGGAGTGTCAGAGAGGAATAAGCACAAACAGCTGAAAATCATTTATATAGCTAAAAATTTAAGAATGACATAATAATGAAACCTGATCCCTGAATTGCAGATTATAAAAGGCATGTATATATCTCTGCTTTGCTTTTTTCTGCTCCTTGTGAAGTTGCCTCCAGAAGCCATAAATGCACCCCATATTCAATACCTTATTTGCGTAAATCTTCCAGGTATAGCTACAAAGCAGAGGGCAGATACAGAGATTCAACAGGACCATACGAAAACAAATGAACAGAATCAGTACTCTAATAGCAAGTAATCATGGCATTAGGTAACATACCATTCGTTTATCCGCTTCAGACCCTCTTCTGAAAACTTGTTCCAGTATCCTGGATCCACTTTGCATTTCTCGAAAAAGTCAGCAATCTTTTTGCTTGATTCATCCCCATTGTATGGATTAATATGGAAACCTGAGACCTCATCCACAATAATTTCTGCTGGCCCTCCTTGATTAGTTGCAAAGGTAGGCAAACCACAGTTCATTGCCTCAATGACTGTCAGGCCAAACGCTTCATACAGAGCAGGCTGAACAAAAGCTCCCTTTGTATCTGCAATACAGCGGTATAGCTCTCCATTCCTGTTCCTGTCAGTCTGTGCTGCTATCCATCTGAGCTGCCCCTTGAGTGTATATTTTTCTATTAATGTATGCATCTTTCTGATTTCTGCCATTTCCTCTCTATCTTTTGATTTTAAGGGATCGAAGAAGCCCCCCACTATAACCATGTTAACCAAACTTCTCAGCCTTTTGTTCTTCCCATACCACTCAGCTAGACCTGTCAGGTTCTTTACTGTATCAAGTCTTGCCATTGAGAAGATAATAGGCTTCTTTTTATCGGCTAGAAATCCACTGAATCAATCAACAGGCGTGTTAGACAGTCCGGATTTGTAGTGTTAAACAAAAATTCTTTTTACTCAATACAATCAAGACTTACATGTGTTCATCATTGTCCTCTTTGCTGTAAAGAAGCTCTTCAATGGCAGGATAAAATGATGTGAACCGTTTTTGCTTTTCGGTGTAGGGAGAGTATACAGATTGGTCAGCTCCTGGAGCAGCAATGTTGAATTTCGGATCAAAAACGTTGATGCCTGAAACAATTCTACAGAGTCCAGGAAGACTAAATGCAGCATGGCTCTCATATTGTCCTGGTCTCTCCTTGCTGCAATCCGTAACATTGAAATTCAATGCTTTGTTCCAAGGGCAAAGGCATGGATAAATATGGCTAATTTTTCTCACCTTCCCGCAATCTCTTGGTATGTGCTTGTAATGATGAAATCTGCGGCATTCATTGCAATTGTATCAGCTATGAATTGACATGAAAAATGGTACTTAGGATCAAAATCCTTCCAATGGATGTCTGAGTTTTCATATTTAGTCTTCTCTAAAGCATGAGCAATAGTTGCCTGTTTTGAACAATTTGAAAGGGCAACATCAGTACAAAACTTGAGGAGAAAACAACGTTTGCAAAAAGTAAAAAGATACAAACCTGAGTTATCCCAAGTTTACTGGCTACAAGAGATGCTACCAAGTTCCCATCAGTGTAATTTCCAATTATAAGATCTGGTTTCCCTTCCATGACATCTGGTATCTTCACTGTTACATCCTGATAGGTGGATGACCATATCCAAGAAAGATGACATTGGCAAGGACAGAAGATGATTTTGAACAAATGATGTGTGAGCATATATATCTATAGTTCAGTACATACCTGTGCAAACCTCTCAAGATAGGGATAAATGTCAAAACGTGACACCCAGCGGTTTAGCACTCCACTTTCTGTCCTGAATGGTACTCGAAAGATGTTAGAATGCTTGGTTCCAATGATTGGTTCCAGCTCCTGATTGCACCTTGTTCCTAGGGCCTCTGGTATGAGTCTTGTAACCTGTTAAAATCAAGATTGTAGTTAAACCAAAGCTGGCTCAATCACATGGTTAGTAATTCTTTTATTCACATATCAATCTTACCACAAGAATTTGTGGCTTCACATTTAGCCCTTGGGACTTGATTCTGAGTAACAATTCTTCTTCCATCGCCCTCACTTGATCTAAAATGTAAACTACCTGGCCGCCGGTGTCTGGCAAGCCAAGGACATCAGACTGGCCAAAGAAGCCATGGGGAGAGAAAATCACAACATTGAATATTATGGGAAGCCTGCTGAAAAACTTCTCCATGTTCACTGGGTCTGGTGCTTGGAGTACTTCTGAGAGGGATCTTATTGTCTCCTTGACCGTCCCTGCAGTGTCACCCCAGCCTTTCTCAAAGCCCCATTCCTTGAACCTCAGCTCAAAGCGCTGATAGGGAGTGTCTTTAGGCAGTTCTGAGAGAGAAACTTCAGCTATTATAAGGGCCATCTGTAGCTTTGCAGCCGTGTTCAGGGTCTCATTGATCATAAGTTTCTGCACATCATTTAATAAATACATGCAAATTAGGTAACAAAATCACACCTTTTTAATGTGGGAATTAGAATTGGATCAGTTTTTCCTCTGCACCTCTCCCTGATATTCAAGTGCCAGAAGGTAATCAACTAGAGGCTGCGCATTCTCCACTCGTCCGCTGAGCTTTGAAGTTATGAACTTGGAGACAAAATTGAGACCATTTCCAATTGAAGAAGATACATTAAATTTGGGCATTGAGAAGTCAAAAGCTCCAAAATCAACCTCCAATGCATTTTCATCCTTTGCCCTGCAACATTAACCAATTTTCATATTTTATTACTCATCCTTGTAGAACCAAGTTATATAAGAAAGCAAAGAATAAAAGATTGAGGAGATCAGGACATACCAATTCTCATCAATTACCATTTCCTTGAATTTCAAGTAATCTGTAGATGTAATTCCTTCAACTGAGAGATCATCTGCACTCACTTTCACAAATTCCCAATTGCCCGGGCTAGGTCTTATTGCAAAAGCTACGTTAGGAGGAATAACAACAGCTTCCTGCAACCAGGAAATTAATTTTAGAAGACGGACAAGTAAAGAACCTAGCTCTAAAACCATGTTAAGGCTTGGCATCACAAAGGAAATAAATAAAGAGAATAATGAACCTGAGTTGAGGACAAGATGAAACCCAAGTCACCCTCAAAGATTTGCTGTCTTTCGGTTTTATCCTCTATCACCATCTCCATCTCCTCCTTCAAATGTTGAAGCTTCAGTATCCTCCTGCCCTTTTGGACATAGCTGGAGAAACATCTCTTCATATGGTAGCGTCCGCTCTGCTTCAGGGCATCAGGCATGCTATCTGTCATGGAGTTGGACCGTTTCAGGGCCGAGGTAGAGGCCATTGCTATCTACAGCAGGATACTTGTGAAGTTTTGATGAGAAAGTAAAGGAACGAAGCCAATGTTGGTTTGTTTTTTGAACGTATATGTCGATGCTTTTATAGAGTGCATGGCTATTTTGGTCAGACGAGGGCTGAAATTTTAGGAACCCTTTTGAGAAGAGGATTCAGGAAGAGGAAAAAGAACATTCCTTGGAGAAGGGGAAGAGAAAGCAAAGAATGTTCGTCTAAAATGTGAAGGAGAAATATTCTTTGCTTTTCATGATGCTCACGGCAATGGCAGCCTTTGATTTCGACCGATTTCGGCTGCCTCAATTCTAGGCTTCATACTAAATGCATTTAATTAAAAGTTCAGTTTAGAAACTCCTAAAACCAACACTATGTTTATACCGCCACAAACCCCTTTTCAAGGAAATTTAATTTTAATCCTAAAATGCGAGCAAATTATTCCGGAAACACTTGGAAGTTAAGAAATCAACTGAAAAAATACTAGGTATTATTTTTCAAATGAGATTAAAATACATAAATAATTAAATCTTCAATTTTAATCATAAGGGTCAAAATAGAACTCTGGCTATAGCCTTCTTGGTCAATCTATTGGGCTTTTTACTTTTCGCAAGAGGGAGTTATTGAGGTTTAAGCATAATATGAAACTCTAATCGAACTCCACCAAACGGCCTGATTGCTGCGTGTTTCGTTAAGATTGATAACTTATTCACTAAATCTAGGGATCGAATTCTCAGTTATTAATTTCTAACAATATTAATTTACTAACTATTACTCTTATTCAAAAATAATAATAATAATAATAATATGAAACCCAATCTGTGTACATAGATATTAATATTGTTTGACTTTTTTTTCAACAAGGAAATGGTTTTTTATTAAGGAGGTGTAAAGGGTACCTCCACCCATTACAACCTCATGTGCACAGTTTCCAAACACAACCGAAATAACTGAACATAACCGCTGAGGTTAGAAACCACAATCAAACAGCACTCCCCCTCTCGGGCATCTCATCAAGGGTTTGGAGTGCATGCAAAAAGGGGCTTCCAATCTCCTGAGCCTTAAAGCCCCAAAAACCAAAAAATTCCACAGCAAAAATCATCAATCCACATAATCAAAAACAAAAGCTTAAAAGTGTGTTTGATGCGGCTTATAAATAGAGCTTTTTAATTTCAAAAGCACAAGTTAAGCAAATCACCACTTTAAAGAATTGCTTTTAAGAAGCCTTAAGAAGCTGCTTGGAGTTTATGCATTCGTGGAGAGCTCCTCCGCCGGTAATAATATAGAGATGATACCTTAAAAAAAAAGTCCTCTTATGTTTAAAAGAAAAAATGTTTGTAATATTGCATTTTAACAATACATTTTGATTTAAAGATTTTTTTATAAAAAAATTTACCAAAAGGCTCTAAATTTAAATTCTAAAAGTGTTTGCATAAAATTTTACTAGATGTCTTTCTACTTCTCACACACAAAATTTTTACAACAATTTTTTTAAAATAAAATTTCTATTAAAAGTTTTAATCAAACCAAACAAACTCTAATTTATCTAAAACCCCTCAGGATGAACATAGGGATTTTAATATTGTTTGATTTGAAGGAAAACTGTTGAAACTCTGATATAGTTATAAGATTGGAGGTTCTCCATATCCACGATCTGGTTGAGGTAGCAAGGCCACCTCTACTAACGGAAATATCAGGTCTGGGTCTAGTGTTTTTAAACTCAGATCAAGCACAAACAATTTATTGATTTAAACAAAATAAATTTTATTTATTTTAAATAAAGTTTTAAGTTTATAAGTAGAAAAATAAAAATTGAGAGAGTTTTTCGTATGAAATTTGATTCAATTCAATTTTAGATTAATTAAGATATTTTTAAATATTAAGAGTTAATAAAAAAAAAGAAAAAGAAGAAAAAAAAAAGAGAGAAGGAAAACCAACTCAACCCTTTCCCCCTCTCCCTTAGTAACATAGTATACTAGTAATAGTTGTCCGCTTTCCAAAAATTAAAAAAAATTCAATGACTGCAATAATTTAAATAAATTAGTAATAATTTTTTTTAAATAAAAAAAAATCATAAATTTAAGTTGTACGGTAATGTAAATTTTTTTTTTTTTAAAAAAAAGGGGGTTTTCGACGCTGGAAATATGCAGTGGTGTGTGAGGCCAACACTACATTTTCCACCAGTCAAGCCTAAACCACAACTCTGGCTGTTTTACTATTATTATTGTTATTATTATTATTATGTTACAATTATGGTGTTTTTAACTAATTTTTAAATTAATTTATTCTTAAATAATTTTAAGAATGCATTTTTGTATTGACATGTTATATTTAAAAATTTTATTTTTTAAATGTTAATTTTAAGATTTAAATTCTACATTTATTTTATAAAAATAATCTTTACTTGTAAGTAGATTCAATTTTAAGATTATTATTATTGTTGTTGTTGTTTTGGTAGTTGACGTCTGGGCATGTGGCAACCCCCAACCCACCAGGGAATTAAAATGACAAACCATTGGAAGTCATGTGACTGACAAGTGACAACCTCCAGGCTGCTGCAATTGCCATGCCATGCACCACCCACCTGATATTTTCAGCTACGGATATATAAATGCAAGTCCTTCAATCGTATGGAGCATGATCAATAAGGAAAAAAAGCACTTGAAGATTAAACATGGTTGTCAAAGTATATGGTCCTGTAAAGGCAGCTTGCCCCCAGAGGGTTTTGGCTTGTCTTTTAGAAAAGGGAGTGGAATTTGAGATTGTACATGTTGATCTTGAGTCTGGTGAGCATAAGATGCCTGATTTCCTTGTCCGTCAGGTATATATTTTGAGTTATCAATTTTTTACTATATATATTTTAGTGAATTAAACAGTTTTTTTTCTTTAAATATTTTGATCACTAACATCTAATTCATTGGGTCAAATGACTCTTGTCATTTTATTAAGGTGTAATTCTTCTTTTCTTTTAAGATTGAGTTTAAACTCTCATGATATCTTGTTCAAATTATATATATATATAGCCATCTTATTAAGGTGCAGTTCTCCTTTTCCCTTATAATTGAGTTCAAACTCTCATGATATCTTATTCAAATATATATATATATATATTTATCACTGAGAGAGTAGGGGTTCAGTTGGTGTCCAGGCCCTCCTAAACTTCTTAAAAATTATTAATATAGTCAATTAATTTTTTTTTATTTTTTTATTTATTTTATATAATTTGAATCCATTTATTTCATTTTGCCCCCTGATTTTTTTTTTCTAGCTGCACCACTGATTTTGGTTATCAATTTATTGTATCCATCTAATTTTGAGATTTATACTTTATCTTTTTTTGCAGCCATTCGGACAAGTTCCTGCCATTGAGGATGGCAATTTCAAGCTCTTTGGTAAGAGTGGTAGCATGAAAAGAACAATCTATCTAATAATTATTAGAAAAGAAGCTAATCTGATGGACAATTTAAAAGAAGGGAAGTTGCAGAATTTGCAAGTAATTTCAACATGAATAACATGTCCTTAATAGTATAAATTTAATTTCAAATTTATTTATCTTGTGCATAGAACATATGATGTCATAATAATGATTGTCACTTAAACTATTAAAAAAATAATTTTTTATAAAAAAAAAATTGAATTCACATAAAAAATTTTGATTTATAATTCAAAATAAAATAATAACTTAACAAAATACTTTGATATGCATTATTTATAATTAAAACTAAAGTCAACTTCTTGGTTTTTTTTTAAGAGAATCACTATCGATGGGATCTTATCCTGTGCCTTTTAAACCATTGAATTTAAGGATACTTTTGATGACAGAGTCTAGGGCAATCATAAGATACTATGCAGCCAAGTATGCAGACCGAGGTACAGACCTGCTTGGGAAGTCGTTGGAGGAAAAAGCACTGGTGGATCAATGGCTGGAAGTGGAAGCACACAACTTCAATGAACTGGTGTACACTTTAGTGCTTCAGCTTGTGGTGCTGCCACGGATGGGAAAACTTGGGGACTTGGCCTTAGCACATAGCTGTGAGCAAAAGCTAGAGAAGGTGATGGATGTTTATGAGCAGAGATTGTCGAAAAGCAGATACCTTGCTGGAGATTCCTTCACGCTTGCTGATCTCAGCCATCTCCCGGCCATCAGGTATTTGATGAACGACGCTGGAATGGCACATTTGATCACAGAGAGGAAGAACGTGAATGCCTGGTGGGAGAACATCTCCAGCCGCCCTGCCTGGAAGAAGTTAATGCAGCTTGCGGATTACTAATGTTCTGTTCTGTGTGTTCATTATCATCAGTGTCTCCCTGTTCTGTTTTTCTATTGTACTTAATTTTCAATTGGGGTTGGACGATTTGCTATGAAATGGCTGCAATGACTTGGTTTCCATTTCTGTTTGTTCTTCCTTCTGAAAAGATATTTCTTGTTACCATAATTAAAATTGGGTCCGGTACAATCTTTGTGAAAAGTGTTTAACTCTTTTAAAAGTTGTTTTTGCTTTTAATTATAAGAATTGAAGCTATAAACCCATAGCTGAAGTGGTTTCATGACCACTTGTAAAGTATTTCAGTAAGGGCAAGTCTGAGACTATCGATCTCGAACATACTGTGCATCTATTAAGCTCAAACCATCCCCTATGTTGAGTTCGGTCACTTAATAACTGAGCTGGCGCTCAGGGTGAGTTTTTCCCAGTTACATGGTAATTACAGTGAGCATGCTCTCATCTAATACTCAATTCCTGAGATCATTGTCCTCTTTGACACGTTAGCTCCTGATTATTTCATTATGAAAACTATGTAAATACTTCATTAACGCTTATAAATACCCTTGAGAGTAACCTTTAAAAGGTAATTAAAACTGACTTAGAGTTTCTTTTCCATTCCTTTTTAAGAGTATATCAAATTGTTGTTGACTTAAATATCAAAGTGTCTAATCCGAGAAATAATCTCAAAGCTTTGCAGGTTTGTTCAATGAGAAGACTTGAATTGAGAAGGATTTGATGGTTCATTGCAATTACGGTTTTGTTTATAGGTATCGAACAAATCCCCACCCAGAAATGTGGGCAAAGTGTGTTAAAATTGTTTGCACCAAATGGACAAGAAGGAATTTGAATCTACGTTTCCTACATAATTCACATTACTTCTCATCACGTGAACCAATCTCATCAGGTTAGAATTGTTATAAATTCCCTGGAATTGTCATATGGTCCATGGCATTCTACTTACCTGAACAGAAGTATGGAATCCTCAGTAAATTCCCTCTTATTCTCCTTCTAGAATAACATTCAGTCGGTAATGTCATGATCATTAGTACCCATGCCTAGCATGAAAATTCCACTTGGACAGTTGTAGCACTTGCCCTTAATCAATTTCATGCTCCATTGACCAAGCAACTCTAATTCAATTAAATACAAGAAAGTCCAATCTGGAATGTAGACTAATGAACCATTCTAATTTGAATGAATACTTGCTGCATTATTTTACAATCATTGCTAATCTAATATGCATGTTCTGATTTTCCTTTCTTTTGACTTTTTTTTTTTTTTTTAAACTATATATAATATTGGTTCAAATGTTTTACATTCATTTTTCAGGTTGGGACTTACTCAGTGTTGTTCTTGATGTGCCAATGAGCGATCTTCCATATGCAACCGGCAGAGCAGCTATCTTTTTTGCCTTGCCCACATAAGCCCTCTTTGTGAAGTTGTCATAATCATTAGCTTCTATCTCATCTAGTATCTGTCGATACAACAGCAAGGATGCCCATACCTGCAATGTTCAAGAACAGCATGCAAAAAAGCTCAGTAAACTTAAGCATAACTAGGAGCTCAAGTTACACCATATATCTGAAATCTTTTGGCACAGTAACTTGAAATCCACGGCATGGTTCATAGGAAAATAGATTGGCAAGAAGAACTCATTGACTTCTGTTGCATGAGGGGTTTTATACACATTAATTGTTATAAATCAGATAGTGAATTAAAGTTTTTGACTATTTACCGGCCATCTACTAGCTGAACTGAGCTCTGTCACTCCTTTTTCTGCCTCATCAAAGAACATCCTTGCCCTCTTAATTTGTTTCTTCATGAAGTTTCTCCATTTATCTGTCACCTTTCCAGCAAAAATGTCATCATCTGAAAGTCCTCCCTGTGCTAGTTCATCCTGTGGTAGATAAATCCTTCCCCTTCGTGCACTATGAGAAGAATGAAAGATTGCAAAGCACGTAAGAACTTTACTTTTGAACAAGAAAGATTGGGAAAAAGGAAAAGAAAAAAAAGATTAAGAACATATAACTTTTTTCACTTTGAGACCATGGCATCAAGAACTTTCAGCTTATGTTAGATTTCAAATGACCTTGGCCAGGAGACGATTTGAATTGTCAAAAATTGTATGGTTTTTCCAATAATTTAACTTAAATGACCAAGTGCTTGGAGTATTTTTAATCTCTAGTCTAGAGCTCTGTACTCACTCTTCTCCAACATCCCTTAGAATGTTGGTAAGCTGATTTGCAATCCCCAAAGCCAATGCAGCATTATAAACACTCTCTGTAGTTGCTTGAGAGTCAGGTGCAATGCCCATAACAGGAACACTCATCAACCCAACAGTACCAGCAACATAATAACAATAGAGGTACAGTTCATCAAAATTTTTGTATCTTGATTTCTTTAGATCCATCCTCATTCCTTCAATCATGTCTTTGAAGGGCTGCAAGCAAGAGATCTATAGACATGAGTATTCCATTTTAAAAGTAAAATAGGCCGATTTTTATAGATAACCTGAAAAGGCCATAGAACAAGGATCATAGGCTACAGAGATTAACAAAAGTTGGCACATTGCCTAACATGAGCTCTGACCCATGCTCTTAGTTAAGTACATAGGACCTGAGTTGATGTATGGCTAAGGAAAGAAATCTCAGGAAATCATGCCAGGCTGAATCTTAAGGGGCAATGTGAAACTGACAAGAGAAGGGAAAATAGGACAATAGCCGATCCCAATTCTCTATTAAGCTATTTGTAGATCACAACACACCCAATAGACATTAGATGTTGAAATATTAATAAATTATAGACAATTGTAAAATGATGAACCTACATTTAGAACTAAGTCAATCTTAAAAGTTTAGTCTAACCTGAATATCAACTGGAAATTTGGCAACAGTGTGTGATAATGCAGCATCAAGCATATCAAATGGACGACCATTGAAAAGATCTTCCAACCTTCCTTCCCATCTATCTAAAGCAGATGGTGTTATATGTGACGCATTAGGTCCATCAACAAGCTCATCAGTCCTCCTACACCACACTGTATGAAAAAAAAAAAATGGAGTAAGAAACAAAGAATCTACTTACATATCTCTTAGGTTGGCAATGGAGTCCCAAGGTATCTGAGTTAAAAATTGTACTCTCCTTTTCTTTTGGTGGGTGGGGATGATTCAAAATTGTACTCTTTTGAGTTAAACAGAATAGGGGAACTCTCCAATATTTAGGCCTTATAACTAAAAGACATGGCATTGCTCTCTTCTAGTTCATTATGTTTATGTGATATATACCTCTGGCCATCTTATGCATGGTAATATAACCTAAAAACACCTATTCTCTGTATAACTCACTGATAAAAAGTCAGTGGGTATGAATACTAATTTGCATGATCAAGCCTATCTAAAAATTATTCTAAGCAGACAAATGGTTAAAGAAATTATCATGGATACTAGTGCTTGAGGTCATTCTGAGTAAGCAACAAATAACATCTACTCCCAGCTATAGATGATGTGCATTATTACAATGCAATCAGAAAGCAGCATACTCCCTCACCATATATTGCCCAAATAGCTCTCCTTCTTCCTGGAGTCATCAGCAAAGTTCCTGAAAATGGGTAACACAAATTAACAAGAATCAACGCCGTCCCAATTCAAGACACAAAACAGTACACTCAACTAAGATTGTAGAATAGAAGACTGACCCAAATAAAATGTTTTGGCATATTCAGCGCACACTTCTCCACATCTGTCATAAGCCTCATCCAACAAGCCCAAAGTCCCTGGCACAACAATATCCGGCTTGACATCAAGATCCCCACTAGACCCCAGCTGCCTCTTAACTAAGGCAGCCTGCTTCAGTACCACATTATAAACCTTCTCCTCTGATGACACAGCCATTTCTCCAGCTGGACTAGCTACAGCACTTGGAATTACAGCCACGTTACTTCCACTCTCTAAACCAGAACCACCTAGAGATAGATGTCTCAAATCTGTGCCAAAAGAGAATGTATTCCAAGACCGTTTCCTACCCTTTTTTCCTCTAAAATTAAACAACATACTCCGATCTGGAGATACAATTTTTTTCAAGTGAATTCCATGCCGGAATGAATCAAGTAGCCCAAAACCATTGGAAAAATCTGATTGAGAGGGCACAACCCATAAAAGCGTAACAGACATGTTTAAAGTCGAATTTCTTGTACACTAACTCGCCCAAATTAATGTCACTGATACGCTTGCTGGGAATCCTTGCAACCTTAATTTACATCAAACTCCACAAAAGCCTACGTTCGACCCACCGCCCTAACCAACTTTACCGTTAAAACCAACACTGTTGCCATGAAAAGAGAGGAAATGCCTTTTCAGTTCTGCGAAGAAACCAAAAATCACATTAAGCACATCACAGATATTCCATACAAGTTAAACATCAAAACAACAGGCAACCCCCAACAATTATATTATCGATTGCAACAAGAAAAAACAGAACTTACTGAAGAAATCCCCAGAAAATAGGAAATCATGTCTTATGTTAAACAAAATTGAATGAAAAAACAGAAAAAGTCTTGTTCTTTACAGGGGTTTTCAAACTTTTTGATGTCTTTTAATCTTTCAGAGCTCGAACAAATGGGATGAGGAAGATAAAAATAGAGAGAATGGAGAAAGGCCTACCTTTTTGGTGTGAGAAGAGCTGCAAATTAACTACACTTCCAAAGCATCAATATCACTTCAAAAACTAATGCTCCCCCACCAAACCAATCTCCCTTCTTCCACAGAACTTGCTATGTGCTTTGTTAAATTCTCTCCAAAATCAATCACAAATGCCCTTTTCAGTTTGTTTGTTCGTTCATTCTCCTTTCACTCCCCCACCTTTGTCATGGTCTGATTCAGTTCCGTGTCTTTTTGTGCTTTGCTCATTAAGCTGCTCCGTCTCCGCCACATGCTGGCTACCGCATGAAATAAAGTTCGATCTGGATATCCCTGGGCCCCGACCCGTATTTTCAAATGATTCGATTTAGATCCAAACCCGGATATATTGGTTTAACTTTAGATTATTTTCTCAATATTTAGAAATTTGGTATGGAGAAGATACATTCTTTTAAAAAAAATTTAATAAATTTATTTTTTTTATTACTAATTAAGAGTATCATCTTTAAAAAATTTTAGATTAAAGATGTGACATTTACAATTTTACCAATTTAGATTGTTGCCTTTTAAAAATTTTAAATTAAAGGTATGATTTTAGATATTTACATAATTCTTTTCAAGAAAAATACAAATTTGATATATTTAGTTAGAAATATTTAAGATGTTACATATTAATTTTTTTAAATTAATAGAAATTTTGATGTTAATATTACAATCCCTCCCATCCATAATGATCATGTTAGATTTAATATAAGTTTGACATTAATACATAGTTTTTAAAAGTTAAAAGGAAATTATTTCTTTGACTTTTAAAATATACTAGTAATTGTTATTAAAGGATTAGACCAACACATCCTTTATTACGACTATGGATATTAAGTTATTATTTTTTATTGCTTTTAATTGTTAATTTAATTTATTTACCTATTATATAATTTAAATTTTAAATTTTTTAATTTTATTAAACAAAGATTATTACCACTCCACTTAAGTCATTAACATTATGCTAATAATCTTCTAAAGTCAATTACTAAACCAATTGTTAGATTAAAAATTTAGAAGGTAAAAAATATATATATATAAATTCTTAGGTTTAAAATTGAAACAACAAAAAAAAATTGAATTGGTGTCTGGATCCGAATCCAGATCCGAACCCGTTAAAGGAGCAAGTTTTGCTCCTGCTCCATGCCCCGCCAATCAAAGTTGGGTCGGTATTTATGTAATTTTCTTTTTTATTATTATTATTATTATTTATTTTGCTAACTACAATTAATACTGTTTTAGGACATTTATTAGTGTGGGAGACACGCGGACGGATAAACCAATTGGTGGACGATAAGGTTATCAGAAAAAGGGAATGGTGGAGGAAGACACGTGGCGTGACGGGAGTGGGCAATGATGAAAAGGGTATCACTGGGGGGGATCAATCAGTGTGTGGAAGTGGGTCCCAAAGAGGAGACAATGGGGGGAGGGCGGGAAAAAAGGTGTCGGAAGCACCACAATAGGTGTCCGAAGCACCACAATGTAGGGTGGGAGCCCCTTGACCACACGTTTCCGACCGGCGTTGATCGGTCATCCATCTGCCACGTACGTTTAACAGGTTAGCCCACTCTCATTTTTTATTTATTATTTTTAAAAAAACAGTATTATAAAAATAATTTTTTATATTAATTTTTTATATAATTATGATATATTATTAAATAAATTAATATTAATTATCAAAATAATTTCATGATTATTTTTTTAATAAAAAATTTTAAATTTAAGTTATATAATATATAAGTGAAATGAGATAAAAAATGAGAGTTAATTATTTTTTATTATGTAATTAATATAAAAAAATTAATTAATTAATTAATTTAATATCATAAATTTTATATAAATAAAAAAATCAATAATATAAATAATACTTTAAATTTTACTAAAAATAAAGAAAATGTTCCAAAATCTTTTTTTAAAAATTTTTTTAGTGCATTTCCCTTCGGGAATCACGACATGCATACGTGCTCATAGGACAAGGCCCTCAACACTTTAATTACTACCACTATTACTTTTGTTTAGTTTTGTTTGGTTTTTACTTTTTCTTTTTTTAATAAATACTAGTAGCATATACCAATAATGGACCTTCATTTTGTAACTGAGTTTAAGATCCGCACGGCTCCTGTATGGTGGCTAAGACCTTACTTAGTGGAAATCACCTCTGTTGATTGTGTATTTGTGTCTCATAAAGTTTTTTTTTTTAATTTTTATTTAGTAAATATGTATTAATTTATTTTTATTTAAAAATATTGTATTTGAATTTTTAAAAAAATAAA